CCATTCTGTTTGTTGGCATGAGCTGCACACCTAACAGTGGCAAGGAGAAAGACCTTTTGGTAAATTAGGTAGAGCCAATACAAAATTGAAATCATAAAAAAAAGTATCAAGAGAGGTCATCCATTTATTATGTACATGCTGAAAGGTGCGTGTGTGTGTGCTGATTTGGTGATTTTATGTACAGGTGCTATGGGGTAGAGCAAAGAGTCTCGCCAGGATGTGTACATATATTTACGCACACATTTTTCAATAATTATCAAGAAATTCTGATGGACCATAAATTGCCAATTTATATTTCTAATGTGACCATCAAATTCTGATGGACCATAAATTGTCAATTTATATTTCTAATATGACCATCAAATCTGATGGACCATAAATTGCCAATTTATATTTCAAATACAACCATCAACTTAAAATCTATTAAATACATGATTTCTAATTAAATTTGAAGTGTGTAAAAATATTGCTGCACTGTTTTGTAATTATAACCATACTGCTGCTTTCTATTTTTTTTTATCCACTAAATATTACAAAAGTAATATGTAGCCTAGTGCCAACTTAAGGCCCTCTTATGGTTTTGTATCAGTGAAGTAATTTATCACATAATTATTTTGTTTGGCTTCGGTGGGTGTGAAAAAGGGATAAAATTGTGTTAGAACACCTGCAAAAACACTTCTGAGAGAGTTGCATTGGCTGCCGGTGCGTGCTCACATAGAGTACAAAATCGCAACTTTGTGCTACCGCTGCTTTAACACCCTTTACGGTGACTTGGTTTGTCAATTAATAATTTTATTGGGGGGGGGGGGGCTTGTAAGCTCATTTGTACTTGAACAAGAATGGAGAGAGTGGTCCAAAAATATATTTACACGACAGGGGTGGGTGGGTGTGTCGGTGTGTGTGCGTGAAAACCTTTTTGTGTCGTAATAGATGGATGGCCCCTAATTTATTCCAAGTGCACATTTTCCAAATAAAAAAAAAGATATTTTCCCCCCTCTATCATTTTGTTGGCATTTATAAGCCTATAATCCACATAGTATAAAAGAAATCAATGTCTAATAGCCAAGTCTCATAATGGGTTGAGCTTGTAAAAGTTGACCAGAATCATGATACAAATGAAACACCTAGTTGTCCAGGCTTTTCTCAAAACCAGTCTAATAATGATGGAGAATATGATATGTTGGACTGCATTCAAGCCTAGGGGGTGTCAAATAAATGATAGTGGAACAAGATATTTTTAGGATTGAACAATATCGTCCTGTCTTTTTATTCAAGCCTAAACATATCTTGTTCCACTATTTATTTATTTATGGAAAATCACCTATATTCAGGATTCTATTGACTTGCTCCATGGGAATCTATTATATTCCCTCTTGTTTTTACAAATTCTTGCTTAACCCAGTCAATGGAACAGTTTAGTAAACATTTGACAAAACAGTCTTGGATCAATAGAGCTCAATTTTATAACTATTATCATTAATTCAAAGAAATTTTTATGCAAGCTAAAATGAAATTCATTATGGATCAGTCTGTCTGCAATCCATTTTCTATTCAATTAATTTATTAATGGATCATTCTGCAATTCATCCTTTATTTAAATATATTAATGGATCAGTCTGTCTGCAATCCGTCCTCTATTCAATTAATTTATTAATGGAAAAGTCTGCAATCCATCCCCTATTCAAATTTATTCAAGGATTAGTCTGTCTGCAATCAATCCTCTATTCAAATGTAATCATTAATCATTCTGTCTGCAATCCAATCCTCTATTGAAATGTAATCATTAATCAGTTTGTCTGCAATCCATCCTCTTTTAAAATTTATTAGTGGATCAGTCTGTCTCCAAGCAATCCTCTATTCAAATTTATGAATCGCTCAGGCTGTCTCCAATCCTTCCTCTACAATCCATCCTCTATTTAAATGTACTCATGGATCAGTCTGTCTGTAGTGTAAGCCAGTTCCCAGTAAGAATCATTGTGAGAGTTCAAATGACAATTTATTTGTTCAGGTGAAATCCTTATCAAGTCCTCACTCATTTATTCTCTTAGTCAATATTCCAGGATCCATTGCATTAGTGTTTCCATTTTTACCAGGAATACTTCTTAAAATATTTCTTTACTATTATTTCATGCTGTTGTTTTCCAGTTTTAGTTTGTTTTAGATTAGTTTCCTTATCTTTGTATATTATTATTATTTCATGTGGGATTCCATTTTTATTTAGTTCATTCATATGTCGTGATGAGAACAAAATTTAAAGTTAATCTTTTTGTTACTAAAGACAAATTTATCAGTAGTTAGATAAATCTACTTTTTCCACTATGGAAATTTCACCTCCACGACAAATGTTCCAAAACATAACACTAAATAACTTTATGGTTTCGACACATGGGCTAACAGGCCTTTCAATAAAACTTACATGTAAATCAAGTTGACATAGTGTAGAAACACAAGGATTCTCCATGTCAGTCAGACTGTAAGGAATGCTGTCAAATAGCTTGAAATTATCTGGTGAGATTCAATCAGAATTTGATTGTTTGTTGATGTATTACCAGCTCATTTGAGCTATCTCAGCAAGTTGTTTGTCCTTATTTAAAGTCACTGCAGTGACTGAAACCTAACACTCCCAAAGTTTGCGAAACTTGTATAAAATTAGTGTAAATATATTTTTTTGGAGTTCATTAAGAATGGGGGAAAGATTTAAAATCATTGTACATAAAAATCGCATACAATTATATTTCTTAAAAATATTAAGATGCTTTAATTAGCATTTGTAAATATCCTGACTCATCCAATGGTAGGACTGACTTAACTGACTAGCTTAACAACTCAACAGTTGGGCTGAGCATCCATTTCCAGTGAGTAATGCTGGAGACACAGCCACACAATGTGAGAGAGGTTCCCACCATGGGCGCGCACAGCCACTGTCAAAGAGATTTTTAAACATTCTCTACAACCATGAAATTATGAATTTTAAGGAAATGTCAGACCGAGAATTAAGAGTATACATGAGAATGTAGACTAGAGTATAAATTAGACTGAAGAATGCAAATTAGAATGAAGAGCATAGATTAGAAAATAGGAGTCTGTATTTCTTAATGGTCTTTCCTCTATAACTAAATGATTCAATCTAAACATAGAGGGACAAAGCTATATGAAAATGAATAAAAAATACAAATATCTTGACACTATTTAGTTTGACATTTTTTCCCATGTTTTTAATACTAAGTAGATTTAATCCAGTTGTTTTAGTTTGCTTTTATTAAAAGAAAAAAAGATGTGAAAAAAAAACCTTGCACTTGCAGCTACATATTCATTAGAAAAAATTATAAAATTTTTTCAACTAAAGATGTTGGTTACAATAGCATTTGAAAGAAAAAAAATTATTATGTAACTCATTTATTATTAATGTATAACTGATTTAAAAGAATATAATGTAAAGTTACATTTTGTATTTAAAAAAAATATCCCAAAACATTTTCATCCTCATTAATTTAGGCTTGCTTTTCAACATTATTGAAATTATTGGCAAGCAGATCTATTAAAGTATTGATATAGATTTAAAAACAGATTTTTACTGAAATATAGTATAGCTAACACCACCAATAACTGTTGATTTTTACCCCCCAGTGTACACTAACAAAAAAAAAGATAGCTTCTACAAGAGAGAGAACTAAGTTAGCATCCAGACTAACCTCTGTCAAATTCAATGATGGTTCCCCGTGTTAATGGTTCCCTCTGACTTAAATCAGCCCCCATCTGACCAGCTTGGTTTAAGAATGATTGATCTTGCTCAATTAGACATGTTGGTGAACACAGGATCTGGAAGAGTTTCGGGCTGCCTGCAGTTATGTTCTGTTGTACAATCCCCTCAGAGCGATTGCATTTAGAAAACTGAAGCAGCATGTGGCCTTAAAATATTCAATAATAAACAACAAAAAATATTGACCAAAAAAATGTAGATAAAAAAATGGCTTTGTATTCTGTAAATGAGTGAGCTGACTAAAAAAAAATCACAAGTATATTATTAAGTACCGTAATAGAAGTTTTTTTTCTTGTTTAATTTTTATTTTATATAATCAAAAGAATGAATGATACATTCAACATTAGTATGCCAAACTTGGTCAACAAGAAACAAGATATGTTTAGGATTGAAAAAAACCCACAAAACAATTAAAATGACATTTTGGGCTAAATGCCTTCTTTAGCAGACAACACAAAATGATTAGGTTTCTACACAGAGACTGAGAAAGCTACATTGTGATCTGGGAACACTTAAGTTTTTCATTTGAAATGATTTGTGTTTTAGTGTGTGTTTTTTAAAAATATCTTGTTCCACTATTTATTTACTTCACAGGGCTTGAATGCAGTCCCGACCTTACATTATCCTTTAAATTGAATGCTAGCACAATAAAGTCCAGACTATGTCGGAGAATTGTGGCTATTTTTTGTTATTGTTTTTCTCTGCCTTTGGACTTACAGATTTCTCTGATAGAAAAAAAACAATGAATCGGGCAGATTGTAATTGATAAATAACTTCAAAACTGGTGGTCGCATTGCCTTGACATTGATGAAAAAAAAAAAGGAAATGCTATAGCATTCTTGAAAAGACAGTGGTTACAAAATTGTCCCACTTCCCTACAAAAGAGCTAAAATATGCAAACCCATTAAATTTTCCTTTATTCAAAAATAAAAATTGAGAAATGAGCTTCGTTAACCATTTGTTTTCCATGGCAGAAGTTATGTTGTAATATCTACAATAAGATGAGGAGCAAACACTAGCTCAAAACAAAGCACAAAAAAGAGCCATAATTTAAAAAAAAAAAACAACTGATTTCTCTGCTAGATATCTATAAGACTATAAAATATTAAATTTCCATTAAAAAAATCTTCTAATACCGGAATTTTTGAATAAGTTCAGTAAATAATTTGATTCAAAGGCAGATCTACAAGGGGCTGATGGGGTTTGGGTTAAAGGGAGGGGGGGGGGGAGAGCGGGAACACTACTTACCAACTTGAGATAATCGGTCAAAGCTCTGAAGGTACCACCAATGGTTGAATTTTCTGAGCTCACTGGGGGCATTAACATACCACAGAGCTTGGAAATCCAGAGGGTCATAACTGAAGCTAGCCCAGAAATAAGTCTTGGCAAAGTAGATAGCATCTGGCCATGCTAGAGTTCCCTGTTAAATTATTTCAAAAAACTTTTTACTAGCAAAAGAAATAGAACTTCTGTCAAATGGTTTTATGAAGTAAATATTGGGGAAAGCAATGCATAATTTGTGTTAAGTTAAACAATTTTTAAACTTGAATTTCTTCGACTACAAAGAAAAAAGGTCAACATCTATATCTAGTGGCATGGTTAGCGTAAACACCCCCCCCCCCCCCCAAACATTCTAGTTAGCTGAAAATGCCACCCCTCAAAATAAAGGAAAAAAAGTCTCCGCCGGGGGCAGACCTTCCCATCCTTCCACATCAGTGTATGTGTCTGTAAAGTAATACATTTTTTTTAAGTTACCCAAACACAGATGTTGGCAAACTGTGACTCTTTAAGGGATAAATGAGGCAGGTGATATATTTTCTTAGCAGATATAATTTGTAAAATTGCTCCTTACTTAAAAATGTAGCAGATCACTTACCTAGCCGTTAGCATAATAACAAAATGTTTGAAACCTTAGACAGCATGTTGCACCAAGTTCGACAAAGGTAATATTAACAAAAATTTCCCTCTGAAATATGGTTTTGAGCTGCCTGGAATTTCTTGGTTTATTAATGTAGTCTAATCATATATATAATATAAAATAATCTGATATATTATCTAGCTTTGACAAGGCCATTTTGTCCAGCTACTGAGATTTACTTAATTACTTATGGTATTTTCAAAGGGCTAACAACAGATGACCTGACGGGAATGGGGCGCTTGGACATGCCCCCCCCCCCCCCCCCCCCCCCCACCCCCAAAAAGTAACCCACGAAAAAAAAAAAAAAAAAAAAAAAAAAAAAAAAAAAATAAATACAGAGGTAATTAAAAGAATGTTGATTACTCAAGGTCAGCACACAATGTCTTTGTGGATTAAGAAGATGAGCAGTTAAGAAACTGTGCTCATTTTTTTCACTTAAAATTTTTTTTATTAACTGTGTGGCAAATGCCCAAATCGTTGACCCACTTAAAACAATTTAGTTCTTTCCTAGTTTTCAAGGGGAAAAAAAAAACCAAACTATTAAAATAAAAGATTTGTGTCTCACTTACAGCTTGACCACCGTTCAACAACAACAAGCCAGCCAGGAAGAAAATCTGACCCTTCATCTCTTTTAAAATGGCTGCAAATGTTTCATCGTGACAGGGTAAAGAGAGGGTGAACTTTAGGTGCCTGTCAAATCTGTATTATTTATAGAAAAAAAAATTGAAGAAATCAAGCCAATGTTTGAACATATACCCAGAAGACCCGTATAGTGTCGTGGAGACAACAGCCCCAACGTTTATTATACAGATTTAGGTTGCAACAGTAAGCAAATTGGCAGATTACAGATGTATCAGTTAGGCACTCCAATACTTTCGCCGCCCGTGTTAGAAAAACGAGGCCTGCCGAGCGGCGATCGCTGTGATCAGCCGGCGCTTTTCGTTTTCGGTAGATCTTGGTGATTAGTGTTGTTTTGCGTCATTTCTAAAAATAGAGGACTCTCCTTGGTTTTATTTAAATCTGCGATGCATGCCGGTTACGAGGGTATGAATTAAGTGGAAATCTGACCTTGCTGAGACGAATAATTGGAAAGTTGACGTGGGGTAAGTGAGTTTGCTGTGCTATATTTTTTTTTTCAAATCGCGTTCGGACTTGGAAATTACTTGTTCGCATAGATTATATATTTTAAAAGCAGAAACACTTATTTTAAAGAGTATAGATCGTCCCCAAAATTTATGAGAGCTTGAACCGTGTGACTAAAAATTCAAGGTTGCCAAGTCGTGGCCATTTTTTCCCCCTCGATCTACCGGAAGTGGTAAATCTCTAATGTAAACAGTGGTTATTATTATTTAAAACCTTTTTCAAACAACTAAATAAATATTTCCTGTATTATAACTTAGTAGTTTGATTTTAAATATA